CAAAAAAAAAAAAATTTTAAAATGAACCAAAGGAAAAAAAAAAAAAAAAAAAAAGGCATTTCACAAAGCAGCTGTAAAGGGCCAATGAGCCACCTGAAGACTATGCCAACTGAACATAATTTTTCCACTGTAATGTAAACAATTCTATAATGGAAAAAAGTTGGGAGTTACAGAACCCACAGAAGCCACATTTTAACTGGAATAAGAAATAAAGCATAAATGGTTCATTTAGAGTGATGAAGTGTGGAGCACTGGAACTCCAAGCCAGCCAAAGGAAAGCAGAACAATCCTGCGTCCTCCTCCAGCAGCGGAGCCCAGCTGCCCAGCTAGGCGAACGGACGACGTCTCGCAGCTTGGCAGGCTCCATGCAGCATCTCTGACATCTGCTTTTGTTCTAGCTCAGCCCTGAAAGCCTACATAGAGCATTATACTTTCACAAAGCAGTGGTTACCAAGCACCTCAAAACAATGGTTGGCTAAACAGGACCATGGTTGCAATGGGGTGGGGTGGGGGGAAGAGTGGGAGGGTGGCTGGATGTTTCATAAGAGAGGTGCCATTTTGCTTTATATTTAGCAATAGTGATGGTTTAACTCTGAATGGAACAGAGAACCAACTTCAGATAAGCTTTAGGTGCCACCTTTGGAAAATCCCAGTCAATATACACTCAGATGTTTCATTTATATTCCCTCCCTGTGCCAGCAGGATTAATTCTTATACAATTTTTTAATCCTCTTCACAAATAATACCTCCTCCACCCTCTCCTCCTCCTTCTCCACGTGGGGCCGCAGTAAATACTCTGAGTGGTTTGCCTCCCTGCAGTAGCTCAGTTTATTTCAACACTTCAGGAAAGCCTCTAAGATATCCCCTCTTTGACTCCAACTGCAGCTCTACCTTTGAAAACAGCAATTGCAAAACTGTCAGACCAGACAACAAACACGAAACCCTGGCGATTCAGTAGGCACGCTGCTTGCCAGACCAGGAAGAGTCACTGATATTCAAGATATGTTAAGATTCTGAACTCTGTCTTTCCCTCACCTTCTTCCAATGATTTTTTTTTTTTTTTTTTTTTTAAAATTGCAGGAGGCACTAACAAGGGCTAACAGAGAATAAATTGAGAAACATTCTGCTGACTCGGGTGAGAAACATTTGCTCGCCACTACTGACGACCAGAAGGAGCCTGTGGTTAGGCTGGAATGCGATTTGTTAGAAGTATCTGTACAATTTAAAAATCAAACAAGACAAGATCTGGTCATCAAGATCAACTCAACATAAATCTATTTTTTAGCAATAGTAATTTAGGGGAGTTTGGAAATCCCTAGCTATACAACCCTAACGTCTCATAGAAGATAACCTCAAACTCTTGAACTCGCAGGCCTTCAGAGAAGTTTTAGTTCAGTGACTGAAGGCACCCAAGTCAGAATAGACACTGCTAATCCTTAGAAATACTACTTTAAATGCTGTACTGTGAAGTTTCTAGAAAGTATAATCTTATCTATAAATTCTGCTTGGAAATTCATCAGTGTGGGTAGAAAGAGACAGCAGGCACATGAAAAAAAATTCAGGAAGTTCAAATCCTTAAAAGCATGCTGCTATAT